TTAATATGTACTAATAAAATTATCGATAATATTACTAATGAAACTAATATTTAATTTATGACCGATCAATTGATCCTCTTCTCCCCTTCCTCATTTCTATGTTGTTCATTATGTATTTTTTTTTTGCAACAAAAAATAAAAACAATCACCTCCCTTAATTTTAATACAATTCAATAATCAGTAACAAATCTGGCTACAAACAATACTCGATTTGTTAACATCTATTTTTTAATTTAAATTTTATTGATAATTCTTCATCTTAAGTAGGCAAATATACCCTTTTATTTATTTAAAAATAATTTTAAAATATTAATTTTTTGTGTATTTTTTATAGTATATATATTTTGTTTTGGTGTTTAGTTATTTTATAGTTTTTTTCTCATTCAAATTTTTTGTATGAATTTTATGATTTGTACATGTTAACGTTTATTTTAGATTTTGTAAAAAAAAAATTTATATAAATTGATGAAATTTATGTAAAATTTTTGACTTAAGTATTTTGTGATAAAATAAATAACAACTTATTTAATGATTCCGTTTTATTTCCTTATCAATTTTATTGCCGAGCTAAAAATTTCAGTAAATATATAAAAATTTAAATTTATATAGATAATTGATAATGAATTAAGAGTACTATTAAGATATATTTAATATGTTTGAGCTAAATCAATATTTCTGCAAATTTATTTTATTAACATAGTTACTTAATACATATTGTTATCATTATTTAAACATGTTTGATATAAGTAATGGATGTTCATTTATTGATGTATCAAGATTCATCCTAGGAGTTGCGGATGATAAATTATTGTAATGAGGTTTAAGGTTTTGTTAATTATGCATTATCTAATTTGATAAATACTAGTGTAGATAGTATTATATATCTATACAGGAGGTGTAAGAATAAAGAATTTCTATATTTAGATATTGTAACGATGTATCTTTTATATATATAAAAAAAAGTTCATGAAAAAATATCTGTGTTAGCATGCATACAGAAAACCATATATTGCTTGTAATATCACGGTAGCAAAAATAGTTGAGTCAACTTCTAGTACTAACAATGTACATGAAGTTATAGATGATAATAATAATCATTATAAAAAATATGGTTATGAATACGATAAAAATGAATTAAAATTTTGTTGGTTAATATTCAATCGTAGATGAAGAACTTAATAATTATAATATGGTTAGGTTTTTTGGTGTTTTAAAAGATTATGACAAACTATTATGAATGGTTGCACAAATCATAAAAAAATATTGGTTGTTGCATGAGTGTTCTCTGTCTGAGTGGGGTTGATTATGACATAATTGTCTAATAGAAAAAACTATTTTAACTTAAAGAAATATATTGAAAAGAATTTTTTATGTTGTTAATTACATGATAAAATTTAAAATACTGAAAATTTATGTGTTAAAATTTCAGCATGTATACTGAGTGCATAATAAGTGGACTGCTATTGAAATTTAAGAATTTCAAACATTTTTCTTGTTCAAATTATTGGAAGTACCATTTATTTGTAAGATTATTATACATCGCTGGTGTTATCAATTATTTTTCTCTAAGCAAATGACGATACCACGTAGTATAATGAAATTGCTATTTTCTTTCTTAAAAAACAATATTGCATGACATCACATCACTCGTTAAAGAATGTTAAAAAAAAAAGAATTAAATATTCAAAACTTGGATTTGGAATATACTGGAATTGAACAATTAATATACACGAAACATTTTTTTTTACTGGAAGGAAAAAGCTTAAATCTACATTGCAAAATTAAATAAAAAGTACTGAAAGTAAAAATGAGAATATTTTCATGAATAATCTCCAATTTATCAATTATGGTATGTATTTGGTATTTTTGAAGCTAGTATTACTTACTACATGTGATTTCCAAAAGAACTCACAATAATCAAGAAATAACTACAAATACTACTTTAGGTGAGAGAGATAGTTGAGGTGCAGATATTTTTATTATTATTTATGAATTTAAATATGTTTTTCTCTCTTTCTTCTTGAAAAAATCAATTAAGTAAACATTGGTAATTAGTAATTACATCTCTAGTGCAATTGCTGCTTTCAAAACAATCAAACAAATTTCACGGCCACTCTTCCTTCTGAGACGTATATAATTGTTTTTCTAGATGAATAAATTAAGTATGCCTGACTTGACATTTATATCGGTCATTTATTTATGTATTTTTTGGGTGTTTGGCAACTATTATTTTAATCTTTTTTGCTTAAAATAATTTTTAATGTATTTTTATTAAAAATAAATTTAAAAAAATTATTTTAATATATTTTAAAATAAAAAAATATTTTAAGAAATAATATCCAACACTATCTTAAATACCCTTTTATCTTTCAGTGTACTGTGTCATCAGAGCCATCTTTATTATTGTCAGTAGTTAGGATTTGGGAGGTTGTGCAGAGTTTATGTGATCTTGTCTTGTAATTATCAGCTTATATTTTTATTATAATTGTTTTTTAAAATAATTTTATTTAAAAATATATTGTATTTTTAATATTAACCTATCAAAATAATTTAAAAACATAAAAAATAAAAAAATTCAATTTTTTTCAAGAATACTTAAAATAAGAAAAGACTAACTCAAACTCATCAATACATAGAAATGCCATGTTGACTTGCTACATGTAAGGTTTATTTTTCGTTATTTTTTAAAGTATTATTTATTTAGAAGTAAATTAAAATAATATATTTTTATTTAAGAAAATTATTTTTCATATTAGTACATAAAAAAATTAAAAATATTAATTTAAAGTAAAGAAAAAATAAATTTTTTAAATATTCTTAAAACATGAAAATAAAAAGACAAAAGCTATTATTTATTAATATTAAATACATTTAAATTATATTTTTAAAAATGCAAAATCAAGCAGACAATATCTCTCTGCTTCCGAGCTCATTCTTCTATTTCTTTATATAAGATGTATGACGCGGCTCTCTCCGTGCTGCCAGCGTGCGAGCCTACGGCCTTCGTGAAAAGAACGCATGATAAGGAGCTTTTTGTCATTTCAGCCGGATGTCGGTCCCACGTAGGTGGCGCAGGCCCCAATGACTTCCCCGATGCTTTTTAGAAGACGTGTAAAATCTGGCTCCGTTCCGCAACATTCGATGCGTACCGCACCACGTAGAGAATTTAAAATTCACAATAAATGCTATAAATTTAAATATGCTATAATTCACAATTATATATATATATATATATATATATAATGTACTCTCTGAGCAGACTTAATTATTTTTGCTTTGTCAGAACTTCTTCGAAGACATTTTACTGCTTTCAAAATAATAAAATTTGAGGTTTAATAAAAGAAAAGAAATTATCATGGCCATTCTTCCTTCTGGGACGTACATATTAGTTGCATTAACTTAATAATTTTGGGTCTGTTTGTTTATTAAAAAATATTTTTAAAAAAAAATAAATAATTTTTTGATATACAGTGATATCATGAAAAATAAATTAAAAAATATTTTTTAGTATTTCATTATCTCATAAAAAAACTGAAAAATAACCTATTAATGTATTTTATAATTTTATTATAATAATAAAGAATAAATTTTATAAATTAAAAAGTTGAATAACAATAAAATTAATAAAAAAATTAAATTTCATAAATTATTTCAAATAAAAAATAAAAAAATAATAAAGATAAAATCTAACATATTAGAAAATTTAAAAGATGATGAAATTAAAATAATTATAATTATAATTATAATTTTATAAATTATTTCAAATAAAATAAGTAATAATTAAAAGAATGAGAACCACATTTGGTAGATAAAAAAATTCTATTAAAAAAACAAGTTACAATCATAAAAATAAGAATTAAAATTAATATAAAAATAAAATTAAATCAAATTCTAAGGAATAAAATAAAAAAAATTAAAAAAAAATATAATAATTAAAAATTTAAGAATTAAATTTGTTATAATCAGCAAATGATATAATATTTTTAAATTTTTACTATTTTTATAAAGTTTTTTTCAACAAAAAAAAATATATTTTTTAAATATTAAATCAATTTTTTAATTTTAAAATATTTTTTATTAATTAATTTTTTTAATAATAAAAAAATTTAAAAATTAATTTTCTTGAAACAAATAAACAAATATGGTTAGTGTATCTTGCCATCATAAGCCTTCTTTATTATCCTCGTAGTCATGCAATTATGAGCCCATACTTGCTATAAATGCGACCCCATTTTTAACCACCGTGTCGGTTTGTTGCAGTAATAATTATTTTTTCGGTTTATTTTTATTTTTTAATATATTAAAATAATATTTTTTAATAAATAATTTTTTAATATTAATCTATTAAAATAATCTAAAAATTTAAATTATTAAAATATATATTTTTAATTTTTTTCAAAAATATGTTTAAAAACCTTTAAATAAGAACTCAGACGTCATCAAATCAGAAAAATGCCATGTTGACTTGCTGTCTTCAAGATTGATATAAGAATTTTCTTCTCTTTTTGCTAGTATAAAAGACACAAATATTCAATCTTCAAAGCCATATATATATATATATATAGGAGTTTAGGATCTCAAACTATTATAATTGGCTCTAAATATTGGTTTAATATATATTTTAATTAATTAGTTAAATAAGAATTTTAAACAAACACATTTTTTTTTTGAAATGTTTTCCTATCTCAACAAAACACAGAACTTATATTAGGATAAAATATCTTTAATTTACAAATTTAAACTAATTATTTGGTTGAATTTAGAAAAGATAGGTTTGACAACTCACAATATACACATATTTAAACTCACTTAATTAATTTAAAAAAAGGACGAGCATTAACTTTTTTATGGCTAGCCCTTTAGAAAACAATTTCAAATAAACAAATAAAAAGCAGATTTAGTGTGTGTGTAATTTCGTATCTAGAAAACAATGTAACTATTCACATCTCAATAGGTACAACTGCAGTTTTCTTTTCTTTTGTAAACATAAGATTGGATTTCATTAAAAGGGCTAACCATGCACACTGGCAACGACCTAAAAGCAGGTCCTTACAAACGATAGATAAGTTTACTTGCACATTTTACGAGCAAGTAAAGGAAACGCAAGGCAAACGACAAGGGAAGGTACCTGATTAAATGCTAATTAACATGTACGGAGTTGGTCAACGAGCTTGCTCAGGGCGTCACGAGACGACCCGCCATTTTGCACCGCCCTCCTGGCCACCCTGCCTATGGCTTCTGCTCTCTCCCTTGCACTCCTTCCCCCTTGTCCTGCCATCAACTCCTTCACACCTGCACTTATAGCTTGCCTTGAAACAAAAACCTCATTAGAGCCTCTGACACCAAGTGCAGCTCCAAGCACATCCACTATAAATTTAGCATTCAAGAATTGTTCAGCTATTATGGGCCAAGCCAGAATTGGCACATCAGCGGATAAACTCTCCAGTACTGAATTCCAACCACAGTGACTCAGGAATCCACCTATTGCTCGATGAGATAGTAATTGGCGTTGATCAACCCATTCTTTGACTATCAAGCCTCTACCCTTTATTTTCTCCCCCATGCCACTGGGCAAAGACCATGTCTCTGAGCGTGCCACCCATATAAAAGGAGATCCTGACTCCTCCAAGCCAAAAGCCACTTCATCAAGTTGAGCATCTGATACATCAGCTTGTGTACCAAATGAAACATACATCACAGAATCTGGTTTGACTTGCTCATTGAGCCACCGTGTTAGCATAGATGAATCCTCTTGGGCAGTTGATTTTTCAAGACCCTCCAATTTGTCGAGTAAAAATAGAGGGCCTAAACACCAGGCCTTAGCCCCGTCCATGTAAAAAGATTCAAGAGATGGGATATGAGTCTTTTCTAGCTCTTCAAAGCTATTAACAATAACCCCCCAACTCTGTGCATCAGCCTCCATCACTTCTCTTGAGAATTGAGATGCTGGGTCATCTTGATTCGGTGAGTTGGTTAGATTTCCAGGCAAGTCTGCTCTAGTCAAAGTGAAGGGAAGTTTCAAGTCAGGCATGTCTAATGGCTCAAACATTGACGTTGATCTTAGCTGTGGTGCATGAACCCAAGCTGATCTGCTTATGACCATTGATAAAACTCCCATGCCATGAAAGACTAGCCTAGGGACACCTAATGCTTGACATGAAGCAAGGGTCCAGCCAAGAAAAAAATCTGAAATAACACATAAAGGTGGGGTTTCGGATTCCAACATGGTTTGTAGGACTTGGTCGAAGGGCTCTTGAAGTTGTTTAGTAGCATGGAGAAAAGGACCGAAGAATTCCTTGGAAGGAAGTTGAGAGGTGTTTTCACAACCTTGGGGGAGGCCATCAATAGTGGGAAATGGGATTTCAATGACATTGATAAAGGGATAATTAGCAATGTTTTTTGTTATTGATTTAGCATTTGAAGGGGTGGTGACGATGCTCACTTTGATTTGTTGAAGTGAAAGAGCTTTTGATAGGTCTAGCAATGGAAGAGTATGGCCTTGAGCCATGAAAGGGAAGATGACAACTTGGGATGCTAAAGGGGAAGGCATGGTGATTCTTGATTTTGTGTTCTCTGTTGGTGTAGGGATTTGTGCATATATAATCGTCCATGGTTCAGGTTGAAAGGTGAAAAAGTTTTGCCTCCTCCTAGTATTTCTCTTAAAAAAACAAAAAAACAAAAAACTTTTTAAAAAATATATAATAAATTGAAATTAACAAACAACTAAATCAGAAAGAGATTTCACAGTAACCCTTTTATATTTCACGATTTATCGTTTATAGCGTAATGGCCATTTTATCATTCCCATAAAAAATTACAAGCTTTTAGAATATGGTTATCTTTAGATATTTTTTATTTTTTACACACAGTAAAATTATGAATATACCCTTGAATGCAAAACATTTAGTTTATTATAGTAAGAGGTATTTAGATTTTTTAGCCTAAATTTTATTGTTGATTGTAAGTTTAGTTGATGGTAGTAATGTAACTCTCCTTTAAAATAATAATTTTTAATTTAAAAGATATTGTCATATGCAAAACAAGTATTAACTTGTTGAAATCGCTGCATATATTGGACGGTGTCTACAACAATTTCTCCATGTAAAAAATCTCTTCTACCATCTTAGTTGATTCTTCTCCATCTTTTTTTTTTTTATTATAGATAGTGCATGTATTTCAAATATAGATGAAGTATTGTTGATGACCTTTTTCCTCTTTTTATTTCTCTCTATTACCTTGATAAATACACTATGGTTTTTATTAATTTTTTTTTCAAATTCAGACCTTTTAGTTTTTTGTTGAGGTTTATTTCTTTTCAATTTAACTTTTTATTTTTAATTTCTATACATAAGGCATTTTGATTTGGTCCTTTTACTTTTAATTTATAATTTTTCTTCTTTGTCTTTTTGTCAAATTTTTTATGTCTTTTAATTTTATCCTTCAGTTAAAGTTTATGATTCTTGTTTTTTCAATGATAATAATAATTTCAATTTAGTTCCTTTTATATTGATTTCTTATTGTTTTTTTTTGCCCTTTTTTTCTATGTTCTTATAATTTTGAATAATATCTTTCAAATCAAGTTCATGGTTTTTTTATTCAATAATAGTCATAACGATAATAATGATGACAACAACAATAACAACAACAATAATAATTATAATGATAGTCATGGTGGTAATAATGATGATGATGAAAATAAAAATGATAATAATATTATTGACGACAACGATAACAATAACAACAACAACAATAATTAAATTCATAATGATAATAATAATGATGATGATAATGATATTTTTGATAATAGTAGTAACAATAATAATAGTAACAACAACAACAATAACAACAAAATTGGTTGCGATAATAATAGTAGTAATTGTTATAGTGGTTGTGATGGTAACAATATTGTTGCTGCTACACATAATAATAATAATAATAATAATAATAATAATAATAATAATTCAGAGGGATATAACTCAATTAGTCAGGCACTGAGTTTGCTCCCTAAAGATCACCAATTTGAGTCCTACAAATCTCAGAGTCATTGGAGGTTTACATAATAGTTAACTTAAGGATCTACGAGATTAGTTGAGACAACAATAATAACAGTGATGATGATGAATTTTATGATTTCTCTAGATTGAGTGCTTCAAGTTTAATAACTTAGATCACAAGTTTAAAAAGTTCATTTATTTTTTTTTTAAAAAATATTATTATTTTTCTTTTTAGTCAGATTATTCCAGTCACATAATCTAGACTACGAGTTTGGCAGAATGTCTCATGTTGACTTAACTCTAATTAGATTTTTTTTACATATTTGTCATGAATAATTTTTTATATTTTTTTTACTGATTTATAATATCTAAATATTAATTTTTTTTAAAAAATAGTCTAGCCTCATGGTGATGCGTGGGCACAAAAGCAGTACAAACTATTTAAAAAATATTCTTGATCACTTAAAATGAATATATGCATTAATAATTTTACATGCACCATATATATATATATATATATATTAATCAACTGTTATAGCCAATAAAGAACATGACTTAGAGTATGTTTGGTATTGTGTTAGTTGTTATGGTTGTGATTTGAAAAAAAAAATTATTTTATAAAAAAATATTTTTAGTTGAGGTTAGTTTGGAAAAATATTTGTTTGGTTAAAACTATGGTTGAAGTTGAGGTTGAATAAAAAAATACTTTAATGTATTTGGTTAAGAATATTTTTCAAATTGATGTTATAAAATAACTAAAAAGATATATATTAATATTGATGGTTTTTAATTGAAATATTATGTATTTAACTATCACTATCACTTCATGAAATAAACAATACAAGGACTATAATTTTTATGGTTTCTTGATCATACAACAATATTAGGTACAATGTCATTAGAAACAAAATTGAGATTGCGAATAAATTCTACAAATGCTACGTTGTTATGCAATATTTTTCTATGTTATTATGCAATATTTTTCTAATATAACTATGTAGTGTCATTAAATAATGTTAAATACTAGTTTTTCAAATAAAACACAATATTTGAGAAATTGTTTTAGATTTTTTTTTATTTTACTAGGTCAACTCAGGCACTAGACATTTAGATTTGGATCAGACCCGGTCTGGCCATGAATAGTAGAGACACTCTCCATTGTTCACGTGGATAATGGAGCATGTAGAATACGAAGGTGAAGGAGAAGGGGAAAAGTAGTGGCTGGCGATGGAAACGATGGATGCTGGTGGTGAGTTTCTCTCTACTATGCTCTGTTTCTGATCTTCTTCTTCTTTGGATAGTGGATAATATAGAAGACGAAGAAGAAGGAGAAAGAGAAGGGAAAGAAAAAGAGCAGTAGTTGGCGGTGGAAACAATGAAGGTCGGTGGTGAGTTGCTCTCTACTGTTCACATGCGACGTGAACAGTGGAGAATGCAAAAGATGGAGAAAGAGAAGGAGAATGAGAAGAAGAAGTAAAAGAGAAAGAGGAATAACAGTGTTTGTTCCATGACAACAGAGAATGGTAGTAAGTTGAAAGAGTTGTTCTCTACTGTACTTTGTTTCTATTCTTTTTCTACGATGGCTCTGTTTATTGTGTTTATAAATATAATTTGCAACTTAACACAAAAGGCACAAATAATAATGTGGATTTACACAATTATTAAACGCATAACAATGATGTTTTTATATAAGCGCAGCCAAAAACACGCATTTAATGGAGAGAAGAATACAAAAAAATTCAAAAGAGTAAAAAAATATTACTAAATAGAACTAAATTCACTATCATTATCAAGCAGAAGTACCCAGAATGAAAGAAGTTATAACAAGGTGATTATGTCATTTTCTCTAAGAATTAATTGTTTAACCAAATAATTTGAAACATGATTTTTTTTCTCTAAAAACATAATCAAAACACAAAATAAACCTATTGCATGCATGAAAAATATTATTAAATTCTGTTTACATTCGTAAAATCTGCATATAATTTTTTCCTTAGAATTAACATGGACATAATTCATATGTATGTTGAGCAAAATGAATACATTTTGTTTAGTAATTGTTGTTGCTATTATCATTATACATACATGTACTAAAAACCCACTTTGACTGCGGAAATGGCAATTTAGAAATCCTAGGGGTAATTTTGGCATTTAATAGAAAAAATAATTCCTAATTTATTTTGTTAGATATATTAATAGGTTTTCTTTTAATTTATAATTAAGATTTTTTTTTAAAAAAAATATGCATTTGAAAAGCTTGTATTTTTTTTGAAAAAAAATTATCCAATTATTAAACAAAGGTTAGATAACTTGTATTTAACTATTTCAACCTCGTTATTAAATATCAAGTTTGGATTAACATATTAGGGATTGAGAGTATAGATTATTTTTTAAGGTGTTTTTTATTTGAGAATGTATAGAAATAATATTTTTTATTTTAAAAATTATTTTTAATATCAACATATTAAAACAATCTAAAAATATTAAAATAACTAATTTAAATAAAATAAAATAATTTTTTAAACACAAAAATAAACATAATAGTATTAATCGGTACATCCGACTGTTGGTTAAGAAGACAAAAACACAAGTACTCGATCAAAGGGACAAAACGAAGGTCTTCATTGTTCCATGTGAATAGTTAAGATTCATACCATGTAAGCTCGAAAGACGAACCTCCACCCCTTTTTAACCACCAGCTACATGCTGCATGCTGCATGCTGAAACAAATTTCCTCATTAACCTAATTTTACTTGCAGGTCTTATAACAGTGCTCCCAACCTAATGTATTTATTTTTTAAAAAAGAAATCAAGCTCAGGTAAAACTTAGCCTAGAAAAGCTATGGGCTGTTGTTGTAGAGTCTATCTAAGAAATCAAACTCATTTGGGCAATTGGGCCTAAAATAGAAGAAGCTAATTCTATCCTTTGAATCCAAGCAAAAAAAGACAAACAGTTCTTATTGCTGCTAATGGGATTTTACATCATCATTAAGAACTAATGGGATTTGTAAACTGTTGAAAAATGCAAAATCACCTTCACAAAGACAAACAGTTTTGAGTTTTTTAACTTATTAATATTAGGGTAATTACACTTATTGCTGCTAACAATTCTTGAATTAGGGTCTTCAATAGAGGCAAATACTTATAGTGAAAAGCCATACAGAATACATGTTTACAATTATTTTTTTATTCCAAAATATATTAAAATATTATTTTTTAATTTAAATTTTTAAAACAAAGATAAACATACTTTAAACTGACATTACAGCCCAAACAGGAAAATCGACTAGAAACTTATTTCTTTATTTAATTTTTTTAAGTTGCCATTTTTGTTTTCAAAGTTTAATCTTGAAACCTCCCCCGATAGAAATCTTAAATCTTAACCATTAAAGTGTAACTTTAAGATCCATTAAGAGGAGAAGGTGTGTTAGCATGTACATTTGTATGCATGGAGGAGCGTAACAGGTTGCAGTGCCACGAACTTGAGAGTGTTTAATCTAACCAAAAAAAAAAGATCAGAAAGCTGCTAAATATGGCCCAACTACTAGTACTAAATGCAAG